CCAAACATCAGTATTCCTGATAATCAATGATCATTCATACTTACATGTTTACGATGTTTTGTTAAGTTGTCATTTTACAAGCAAGGTCCTTATATAATACCTAGAGATAATTTGCATATAGCACAAACATGTTCCTTATAATTATAATAGTAAAACCTAATTAGCATGCAACATAAATAACTATTAACATCTTTCTCCTTACAAAAAAACCCAGTTAATTTAAAATAATTAACTATAGTCATATTGTTCCTACAGGTGAAGTTCAAACTAAATTAATGCAGAATTTTAATTTCTTTTTTTAGTTATTTAAAGCTTCAATCTAAAAGTCAATTTATATATGACAATATAGTTTTCATGATTTAATGATTTATCCTATTATACTGTATAGTCTTGATACCTCAATGGTGGTCTGCAAACTCTCTCAGATCTACTTAATGACACGAGATCTTCTCGGGATGCCTGTTCTGCATTTTCAGCCCTTTCTTCATCAGGATCAACCATGTTGTTGCTGCTACTAGGGACGTCACTATCAATATCCGGTAAAGAAACAATATCCATGAATTGTTCATTACGTACTTGATGTTCTGAACATTCCCCTTTAATCTTTCTGATATGCTTCCGATTTCGACGAACTAATCCTAATGGCGTTTGCATAACACGTGATCTTTCATCAGTTTCCGTGCCATTAATCTTTCAGCTGGAGAATATACGTATCCTTGTTGCGGAGTATTGCGACAAGCTAATAATTCCAAGTAAGGATCTTCGTTGTCCGATTTTTTAATATGTTCTTTGCAACCTTCAACGCCGATTCTGCTTTACCATTCCCTTGACTATAATACGGAGACGATTTAACCGGTGTAAAACCATATTCTCTCGCAAAAGATCTGTATTCCGAACTGTCAAATTGAGGACCATTGTCACTAACGCATTCACTTGGAATTCCATGCCTTGCAAAGTTCTTTTTCATCACCTTAATTACAGAATTAGCAGTTGTGTTTTTCAAGTGATCAAGTTCAATGAAGTCACTATAATGATCAACCATAACCAAATAGTTTTTTCCAGATAATTGACATAAATCCAGACTTATTCTTGACCAGAGTAACTTAAAAATCTCATGCGATTTCATAGGCTCTCTCGGTTGTTCCGTTTGGAATTGAGCACAATTTCCGCGAGCTTCAGACATTTGACGAATATTAGCTGACATTCCGGACCAAAACAGTGCTTCTCGAGCTCGACGTATACTATTGTCAGCAACTTGGTGAGACTTGTGAATCTTTTCCAACATTTCTTTCCTCAACACTGTTGGTACAATCACTGGATGCGTCTTCAAAAGAACCCCTTCGTAGAGCGTAATTTCTTCTCAAAAAAACAATACTGTCTGATACACGGTGGAACCATTAATTTATCAGATGGCCATCCTTTTCGTACCGTTTCCAACAAACACTTCAACGTTTGGTCTTTTCTGGTCTCTTCTTTCATTCTATTTAACGTACAGTCTGACATCATGGCTCGTTTTAAACCCATCTGCTCCAGCTCAACTCGAAATACCATTTCTGACTCCAACTCCACCGCGCAATTTTCTTTTAATGCTGCCTGTAACGAAGTATCTGCAACATAAAGTTCTTTCCCTCTTTTATACACAACTTCAAAATTATACTGCTGTAGTTGAAGCATCATCCGTTGAAGCCTTCGAGATGCCTTACCAAGTGGCTTTTTAAAAGTTGTTTCTAAAGGTTGATGGTCCGTTTGCACAATAATGTCATGTTTACCAAAGAGATACTGATGCCACTTCTTCATACTTGTCATGATAGCCAAACACTCTTTTTCAATCTGTGCATATCGTTTCTCTGTATCTGTTAAAGTGTGTGACGTAAAACAAACTGGTTTTTCTTCTTGTATAAGTACCCCACCAATAGCTTCATCCGACGCATCCACTTGTAACGTAACTGGAAGTTTAACGTCATAATAACGCAAATTTGTGCTTGATGCAATAAGATCTTTAGCTGCGTTGAAAGCCTTTTCTTGCGAATCTGATCAATTAAATTCAACGTTCGGCTTGACTAGATTCCTTAACGGCAACACTGTTTCACTTAGATTTGGACACAATTTTGATAAATAATTACACATCCCCAAAAAAACGCTGTACCCCAACTTTATCAAGAGGTCTTGGCATCTCCCGAGCTGCGCTAACCTTTCCCGGATCTGGGCAAATTCCTTGATCAGTTAATTTGTGTCCCATAAAAGTTACTGTAGTGGACTTGAATTGCATTTTTTTCACGGTCAACCTAAGATCTTGTTCTTTACATTTATCTAACAAAGCGATGAGATTTTTATCATGATCTATATTAGCTTCTTCCTTTGTATCACCCCGTCCTAAAACACATATATCATCTGCTATATTTATAACACCGTCCAACCCTTCAAGGAATTCTTGTTGTCTTCTTTGATATTCCTCCGGACCTGATGAGATGACGAAAGGCATTCGCTTATATCGATCCCGTATGTTTGGACCCTTAAAAGTTGTTAATAGTGACGGTTCGTAATCCAATTCAATATTATGAAATGCCTCTGAAACATCCACCACTGTGAATACTTTAGCACTTGTCAGAAAAGGCAATTTTTCTTCAATAGTTGGTATAGTGTAGACAGGTTTTCTTACTGCCTTATTTAGAGTCCGACTTGAAATTCGAATTCTCACGTCTGGTTTTTCTCTCACCAACATATTAGATAACCATTCTGTGGGATGCGTTACTTGAGCTATCGTGTCTTCTTCACACAATCTTTCCAATCCTTATTTACTCTTTCCATTTTGGCTACGGGGATTCTTCTTCGTGGGCTTTAATTGTACTGGAGGAATACTTTGGGGGCCAAGGTCGCCGTTATTATGTGCAACATTGTGCGACATTAGGCGACGTTGGCAATTTTCAAAGAAAAGTAGTGTGCGACGCTGGGCGAAACTGGGCGACATTGGGCGACATTGGACAAAACTGAACAGCAATATCAAGATAATGTCAAATATTCTAATTCACAAATTATGCATCTACATAAAAAATACAACAGTAAATATCAAAATATAATTTAGTTATCAAAAATTGGTTCCTGTGGCAAAGAACACAATTAGTTTATTACAAATATTTTGCAAAAGTATGAACAAGCAACATTTCTCTAACTGCTAGCCTGACAATTTACTCAAAGTTTATACCGTAGTACACATACATGCCCAGTGCATGGTACATTTACAGTATCATGGAACTCTGACTTCTTATTAAATTGACTGGTGTAAATACCTCATAGAGTTTTAAAACCTGTTTATGGACTGTGGTATGCAGTGATGGAAGTGGGCAAGGTGCTAATAAATTTGCTCGCTTAAATGTAAGCCAATAAACTTGTGTTTTAACCAATCATATTAACTTTAAACGTTAGTTGAGAGGCTTTCAACAGTTGGAAACTTTTTATTAGTATAGTTTTCTTGTAGTTATAGTATAAATTATAAAGTTAATATGTTCAAGTGTACTGTGTACGTACATTACTACATCGTGGTGTTTGGTATTGGGTTTTTTATTAATAAGTAAGTAAATCACAAAATAACGACGAAAGTACCTTGTTTGATGTATTTCCAGCAAGAAACAGATATAAATTAATAAATAGAAACAAGAATTGAATTCACAAAAGTTTATATTCGTGTATTCGTTAACATAAAAGAAATGGCGGCTGGGATTTGAGCCCGCAATACCACGGCACGTCTAATTTAATGGTTTAGCTTCTAACTTGTACTACTTCGTGTAAGGAAACATAATAATTGATCATGGCGGGCTTTGGCGACATTTTATAATAACCTGCACCGTAGATCTTTCTGTGGTGCATCCATTGCTCTGTATCTTTTGCGATGATACCTAATTACGAGATGTCGATCATCGTAGCTTCGTCGAAAAGTAAGTAATTTTATTTTACAAACTACAAAGTCGTATTTTGAACATACTATAGATGACTTTCTTTATTTATAGTCTATATATGTACTATTTAAAACACGAGTAGGAGTGTTTTATCAGATATAAAATGCGAGGCGCAGTCGAGCCGTTTTATATCTGATAAAACACGACAACGAGTGTTTTGAATAGCTTAGAATACGACTACAAAAGAATACTAAATAGGATGAACCATTATATAATAATGCTAATTAGGATGAACAATTATACATGATGTGTTTTATCAGATATAAAGTCACTCCGCGTGACATATTATAGCTGACATGATTTGCCACAAGGTTTATGAATTATTAATGAGTATTTTAAATAGTACATATATAACTACAGACGGTACTGTTTCGGCCTTTAGGATACGTAGTGTACTTCACTGGGCTAGTGAGAGGTATTCTGTACTTTAGCACTCGCCAGTTATCATGAATGTATCTTTGATAATAAGATCTAAGTTTGATTTCATATACAACATTTAATGGCGTGTGATTTGACTGAGTTTCACAAAGAAACACATTGGAGAAAATAGCCAGAAGGCTGCCTTAACAACATAATTTAGGTATTTCTCATTGGAATAATGCGTTTTAATTCCATATACATATAAACCCCAAATAACCAAGCCTCATTAGTACTGGTGAGAGATGGTGCCCTAACAGCACATGCCCTTGGTGTTTGTGTACATGTATTTATAAAAAAAACACATGCAGGAAACTAACAACTAAATAAGGAATAGACTAGAATGGACGACAAACTCAAAGTGCAAAATTGGGCATGCTTGTGCGAGATTATGCGACATTAGGCGAAATTAGGCGACATTAAGCGAATAGACTGTTAGGCAAAGTTCAAAAATCGGGTGCACATGGGCGAAATTGGGCGAAATTAGGCGACATTAGGAGACCTTGGCCCCCAAAGTTGGCTTAACACTTGGATCAACCTCGATATGCAAAGGATCGTGGCTTAAAAACATCCCCATAATGCGTAATAATCGATTTTTTTTGTTAGCTGCCCCAACGGAGGAAGGTCGATCTAGTTTCTTTCACTTTCAACATCAACTGCTTGAACCTCGTCAGCATAAATTTTCAAATACCCCATCTTCTGTGCATCGCAACCACTCAGCAATGCTGGCTTCTCTTCAGGCACATCAACGACCAGAAAATCTAATAAGTGGAATTTCCCCTTTGCTTCACAACATAATGTGACTTGTCCTTTGGGAGCAATTTTCTGATTTGCATATGTGCATATTGTTGCCAAAGTCCTTCCTAATTTACATCCCGGAAAATTCTTCCGCAACCAATTTAACGGCATATTGTATTGCAAGTAGATGCCGAATCAATTTGAGCTCTAATCACTCGATTATTTCTTTTGTTAAGCAATGTTAAATTAGCAAAAAATTTCTTTGCACTGCCATTGTCTTTATTGCTCTCCAAGGCAAATAGTTCTTCGTTTAATTCATCTTGAACTTGGTTAGCTTTTTCCTCGCGCATGTGATAACTTCGTTCACTTTTACAAACTCTTATGAAATGTCCAAGCACTCCACATTTGTTACATCTCTTTCTAAAAGCAGGGCAAAATTGTTGTCTAGGCTGTTTATGTTGAACACCGCAATAAGAGCACATTCTTGTTATTGTTTGCTGTGGTATTGTGAAATCACGACGGTCACGGTTCACCGGCTGCCTTAGCCTGCTCACAGGCTCTATATACAGGGTGTCCCAAAAAACCCGAAAACTATTGAAATCACGTATTGTTAAAATTGAATGCCCTACCAAAAAGCTGAACGTAATGATGCGTAAAATATTGCCATGGTGCATGTATTAAAATTTAGTTAAGAACATCTCCCTGTAAAGTGCGCGATTTTCTGCTCTGGGGAATCTAAAGCAGCTTTCTAAATAGTTTCTTCATGCATAAAATTTACTTACGTCAATCATTTATGCACTCGTGGAAACCAACAGAGTGCTATGGCATTCAAATTCTAACAATTAAATTGTTATTGGTGATTTCAATAGTTTTCGTTTTTTTGGGACACCGTGTATAGAGCCTGCGACTTTTATTGATATTTTTTCAATACGCCCCCTTTGAGATGATTGAATATCCGGTAAATAGTAGCCAATCAAAGTAAGTTTGGTTAATTAGATTACCAGGGGTTATTAACAACAACAAACAGTTTCTCGCGCAATTTTACCTGTATCTTTCACTAGGATTCCAAGGTCAAATTTAATCTAAAATAATGCATGGTCGTTTATTTCCTAAAATGTTCTAATATTTAAAACATAGTCCCGTTTGTATATTGCTGTCTTGTTCGTACATTGCCGTTTTAAATTATGCTACTATACTACAGACACGTTAAATTTTATTCTTTATATTAATGAGTTTTATACATTTATATCCAAAATATAACTGTAAGATTTAAGGAAATGTATTTAGGTTTTCAACAAACACTATTTAGGGGCCTATTATAGGGGGTACGCATCTCCGAAAACCGTGCTGTTTTTTAAATTTTAACCGCAAACCGCGCACTCATTTCTCTTTTAAACGTAACCGCGTTCAAACCGAGGCATATGTGGTAAATATTTCGCAACATATTCCGCAACATAATGTGAGGCAATAGACCAGTAGTCAGTACGTATAGTCGCCATTTGTGTTGGAGTATTGAAGAGGGAGCCGTTCACAAGTTTCACGCGAACTTGGTAGTATAAAATTTGGCAATTGGCAAAGCAAACGAAGTCCTAGCAGTTCAAATAGCTATAAAAAGGTTTTCCTTCCATTGTTGGTTATGTTTTGTGTGAGAAACAATGGCAAGTTACTTAGGTTTGATTTCATCTTTTCGGTCAAATATTTATTACTTTGAGACTGATTTCAGTTCGTAATTATAGTAGCAATCGGTAAGTCAGAATATTAAAAAGCATGTTCTACTTTTACGGAATAATTTTTCTTGCAATAATTTCACAACCCCGGTTATTTTTCCCCTCAAATTTTTAACAAATTAGGCGGGATTTTTGGTGTTCCGTATTCAGGAATGATGCTGTTCCGGTGTTCCGTGTTCCGGTGTTCCTTATTTTACTAATAGCCCGGCCACTTTGCCCATTTGATTTCGTCATTTCGAGGCCCTGTGGAACAACACACACGCGCGATCGGAAGATGAATGATTATTGCCGTGAGCTTGTAAAATATTTCTTAGCCGCATGTTTAAAAACTATCCGAAAACCGCTATTTATTTTGGTCAATAACCGAATCCGGACGGTTAATTTCGACATTTTCCGTCTCCGTACGATTTCCAGTTAACCGCAAACCGTATAAAATAACTGGATATAATCGAAATCCGACCTCAAAATATGGCTAAATCCGCATAACCGCGAAACTATAATAGACCCCCTATTTATTAAAAGTGTCGAACAATAGCAGGCTAAAAAACAACAGCAAACAGTTCTTACAGGTGAAGTGTAACAACTAGTATTTATAGTTTTTAATGTTTACATTTATTGCGTGAAGTCTGTCAATTGCTCAATAATACAATTAACTCAATAGACAATTTGAAAACCCGTGGCCGTGGCGTCGATTCCGCCGTGTTTAATAACTACATTTTTTTGTAAAAAGCTCTTGTTGTAATAATATATGTCACTATAGTTGAGACTCCCAAAAAGAAAGTCTCAAAGAGACAGCGGACTTCGGTCAAAGAACACGCAAACGACTATTGCAGAATTTGAAGGTGTAAATTCAAATTGGCCTGGTGTTCTAAGAGCGACTTTCCTCGACGGCGTCTGTTTTAATAATTTGCCCATTGTCTTTGCTTATTCAAGACCAGATTGTTGAGGCAGAAAGCCTTGGGTTAATTGACAGGGAAGTATTTGAGAGAAATGTTCGGAGGCATTTGACGATCAACTGCTTTATACTAGCTGATTCACTGCCTGCATGTGTCTCAACGAACGTCTCGCTGGGCTTGTTCAACGTTGGTAATAATTCTTTTGAAAACACACAAAAGTCTCTAAGCTTTCTGCCGCAAGTAACGAAAAAAACGCGGTTAGATAAATTCTCAGCCTGAGCTAGACTTATTTTACTTTCTCTGCAAAGATCAGCAAGGCATACTTCGAAGTTTTCCCTTGTACATCTTTGGAAAAGGTTTATAGCTGACGAAGACAATTAAACTTTTATCAAATCCCGTTGGAAGTACAGTTATTGCTAACCCATTATGACAGAAGCGCTTGGCCTTGGGGAAAGCTTTTCGCTTGACGAAATTCGAAACAAGTGTGATTGAGAATGTGGTTGCAGTTCCTGTCTTCGTGGCAAAGCCAAGGGCGAAATTTTTGACCGTGCAAAAGCTGGATAAACAGCTTTTGTTCAAGCTCGTGCGCGCTATGGAGATGATTTCGGTATAAACAACAAAAGAGTTCAATATAGATTGACAGTGACGAGAGTACGAGACGCTAAGATTATAATTTATTATTCAACTTTTTTATGTTATAAATATGTATGTTTTGAAATTATGAACTGGAAGTATGAATTCATTGATATTACTCTCATATTGACACTAAAATTAATGATGATATTCTTGTGAAACTGAATGATCTAATAGTAATATTAACTTAAACAATTCTGGTCAATCTAGTGATCACGTTAGTTCATCATGTCTCTTCAAGACAGAGGACAATTGCTAAATATATGCTTGTTTCGCTGTATATCAGAGCTCATCAGAATGCTTAGGAAACACTGATGAAATTTTTATTTGCATCAACGAATCAGTCTTTCTTTTTCTTAACAGATTTATTGGGTTATATGATAATACAAATAATTTATAAACAATTATTATTAAAACACATATATCCAAGGGCAGCCTAGACCTAGGCCTTCTATTTTTATTTATATTTTTAAATATTCAGCGCTTTTTCACATGAAAAGACTGGGACTAGGTGATTTGGGGGCGGGACGGAGGAAGGACACAAGCCTGACGCAAGCGAACAAATAGAAGGCCTAGTGGCAGAGGAGGAATGAGGATCTTCCCGAAATGCAACGCATGAATCAGTGCGGCTCATTATTATTCAAGCTATTTATTCTCAACACGCCGTTCGATTAAAAACTGTTGAAATATATTGCGACTTTTGCTGTGAAGATCTCGTTTTCTCAATGGTATGTTTTGATAACCTTTTTGTTCAGTAATTTTATAAAAGAAGTTTTGAATAATTTTGTATATATATCGCATTTTACTTATGTTAAATTCCCATTGTATTTATGCATGTTTTGGGTGTTGAAAAAGTGGCATTGAAATATTCTGGAGTAAATTGTACTTTTTTACAAGTAAACTAAAATAAAATTACATCAGTGAATTCAGGAATGTTTACTCCTTATATTGATACTTTAAAACATGAATTTACTCCATAAAACCGAAGAGTTATCGTGGTTTGAAAATGAGCTATTTTTGCTATATTCGATAATTAGCAAAAATAGCTCATTTTCAAACCGCGATAACTCTTCGGTTTTATGGAGTAAATTCATGTTTTAAAGTATCAATATAAGGAGTAAACATTCCTGAATTCACTGATGTAATTTTATTTTAGTTTACTTGTAAAAAAGTAACCGCGATAACTCTTCGGTTTTATGGAGTAAATTCATGTTTTAAAGTATCAGTATAAAGAGTAAACATTCCTGAATTCACTGATGTAATTTTATTTTAGTTTACTTGTAAAAAAGTACAATTTACTCCAGAATATTTCAATGCCACTTTTTCAACACCCAAAACATGCATAAATACAATGGGAATTTAACATAAGTAAAATGCGATATATATACAAAATTATTCAAAACTTCTTTTACTAAATTACTAAACAAAAAGGTTATCAAAACATACCTTTGAGAAAACGAGATCTTCACAGCAAAAATCGCAATATATTTCAACAGTTTTTAATCGAACGGCGTGTTGAGAATAAATAGCTTCAATAATAATGAGCCGCACTGATTCACGCGTTGCATTTCGGGAAGACCCTCATTCCTCCTCTGATTAGGGATTGCTCGCAGTCTATTCTAAAGGTCAAATTACATCTGAAGCGTGCTTTTCACGTGCACTGGGCTACGGGAGACCCCTTATTGGCCAATTTTACATGCAGCACGCGCGTGCGAGTAAAAACCCGATGAAACCCGATATTTTGAAAAAAACAAAATAAACATTTCTACTCGCCGTATTCAAACGAAACTTTCTACATAAAAGCGCTTGAATACAAGGAATATTTCATTAACATTAACTTGTGGCGAATACTGAAGAGTTTAGAAAATATTCAACATTTTCTCCATATGAAAATACAGAATGTTTGGCCAAGCGGTGAGTAAATATATGATTGTTTCGGTTTGTGTATTTGTTTTGACGGCATTAGACCCCCCGATGAAAAGCTTATTTTGTTAAGATTTCAATGGTGTTCTTTGTTTTTAAGGGGGGTGAATACGCACTGAAATATTTACGTTATAAAACAGTTGAATCAAAATATTGCTTGCCGTGAAAAATGTCACATGTCGAGAAAGAGTTAAGTTTTTTAAAAAAATAGTTTTTAAAAAAGTTTTAAAAGATCAGATTTTTAAAAAATTTTAAAAGTTAAAATAGTTAGTGGTTAGTGGTTAGGGGTTAGTGGTTAGTGGTTGGGGATGAGATTTAAGGTTAGGGTTAGGGTAGGGTGTGTATATATGTGTATGGAGGTATCCGCAATGAACTTTTCAGTACACTATAATATCCATTACATAACGTTTACTATATTGGAACGATTAGCAAAGTAAAAATGTTCGAATTTTGAAACATTTTGAAACCACAAGCAAGCCATGACTTCTTAAACAAGTGCATTACTCAACAGGCAATGTCATTGAACATCGAAAATCCTTTATTTTAATTCCACTCTTTAAAATAACTTCTTTACAAGAAAATCATTTAGTAAAATTATTAGACAGATTTAGATCGAGGACGCGGACGTCAAAGACGACGTGAAAATGGCATCAAAATGGCGTGGCATATCCATACATGGATACAACAAGCCATTTTCACGCCTCAGCTACAGGTAGCCAAGGATCCTTGCGCCCTTGCATAGTGGCTAGCCTTTTCTTAAGCATCGTGGAAGCATGATACAGAATTTGTAGCTCAGTCAATATGGACAGTGTCGGACTGTGATTATCATCATTTTCATGATCATGATTATCATTATATCTTCAACATCATCATATATAGCAATCACCACCATCACAACTAGTATTATTCACCATCCCTTACAATATCTTTAGCACAAAAACATTCAGTGAAAACAATTTCACTTACGATGTTTGTGATGTTACGCTGAGTGTATATCCACACCGGGCGAGCTTGAAAACTATGCCCGGCCACGGTGGGAATCGAACCTACGACCTTTGGAATACTAGCCCAATGCTCTGCCAACTGAGCTACGCGGTCAGGACGGTTCGAGTAAGTGATATTTCGGAACAGAATCTAGTTCCTTCGATACCAATGTAATCTAGTAATCTGTAATCTAATATTCGCCTGAGTACACAATACCAACACAGAAAAAAAAAATCACTTACATTTCGATGGCTTGGAGTGACAAATACTAGTTGGTGTGAGGTCGGGAATCTTCGAGTTAAGCCCTTCGAGTTAAGCCCCTCGAGTTAAGCCCTTTTCGAGTTAAGCCCCGACCACGCCCTGTTTTGCCATGACCACGCCCTTTTTCCAAAAGGGCTTAACTCGAAGAACGAAACACGATTTGGGTCATTCGAGTTAAGCCCCGGGTCATTCGAGTTAAGCCCCGACTTTTGAAGTATGTCAACGAGTGCAATATTAAATTGTCAAATTGTCAATACAAAAAAGCCAAAGGCAAAGCACAGAAATGTTCCCCAAAAGAACTTGTATATCGCTAATGTAATACGATTATCTAAAACAATCACAACTATTATCGTTAACAATACTTTAGGTTTTTCATATTTAAATTAATATTAAATTTAACAACACTCAACAGGTAATTACTTTTAGTGGATCGTTTATCCACAACAAAACTACAAAACAATATTTTAATTATAAAGTAGATAGAATCCTAACTCGTTCCTTTTGTTTGAATATGCACAATATCGACAAATTAACAGTTTTACTGTAACAAAAAAGGTACAACCTTTCCCATCACCTTGAACAAAACTAATCTATTAAGAAAATGATCGATTATGACAGCACGTAATAACTAAAGAAAAAGAGAGGAAAGGGAAGGAATTTCGGTATAGAATGATCTGTCTTTGACAACTTGCGCCCAGAAACTCACGCCTCATACGCACATGTACAGTAATTTTATTAGCCAAATGAATGTTTATGAATCACGAATGGTTTCATTTGTGTACAAATTATCACGGGGAGAAATTGTTACATTTGAGTAAAATACCCAAATGTAACAATTTATCCTGGTAATAATGGCGCTACGTCACCATTTCGTTTATAAAATATATTACTAATCGCTCAGCAAATATTCCCTTTTTAATAATACAAGTCAACGTAGCGCCATTATTAGGGGGATAAATTGTTACATTTGGGTATTTTACTCAAATGTAACAATTTTTCCCCGTGATAATTTGTTTACCCAAATGAAACAATTCGTGATTCGTAACCAATTGGCTAATAAAATTACTGTACATGTGCGTATGAGGCGCGAATCTCTGGGCGCAAGTTGGCAAAGACAGATCATTCTATACCGAAATTCCTCCCCTTTCCTCCCTTTTTCTTTAGTTTTTACGTGCTGTCATTTTCGATCATTTTCTTAATAGATTAGTTTTGTTCAAAGTGATGGGAGAAGGTTGCACCTTTTCTGTTACAGTAAAACTGTTAATTTGTCGATATTGTGCACATTGAAGCAAAAGGAACGAGTTAGGATTCTATCTACTTTATAATTAAAATATTGTTTTGTTGTTTTGTTGTGGATAAACGATTCACTAAAAGTAATTACCTGTTGTTCGATTTAATATTAATTTAATATGAAAAACCTAAAATATACCTAAAATACGATAATAGTTGTGTTTGTTTTTGATAATCGTATTACATTAGCGATATATAAGTTCTTTTTGGCAAAATTTCTGTGCTTTGGCTTTTTTGTATTGAAAATTTGACAATTTAACATTGCACTCGTTGACATACTTCAAAAGTCGGGGCTTAACTCGAGCAACAACTTTTTTGTCAAACTTCGAGTTAAGCCCCGGGGCTTAACTCGAATAACCCAAATCGTGTTTCGTTCTTCGAGTTAAGCCCTTTTTGAAAAAAGGGCGTGGTCTTGGCAAAACAGGGCGTGGTCGGGGCTTAACTCGAGGGGCTTAACTCGAAGGGCTTAACTCGAAGATTCCCGACCTCAATGATTGAACACTGCAGGACTTTAATTTTGGCATTTGCTCTCCCAGTTTTTAATAAAATCTCACGGTTAAAAAAACAAATCTCCTTGTTTTAAAATGTTTAAAATTTTTAAGGTTCACAAGACTGCTAGTGCCTAGTACATTTATACATTGAGCTGTGAAGTGTCAAGCTGAGTAGCTGACAAGCACCACATGTTCTGATGTTCAACAGGAAAACGATGTTGGGCACCCATTCTAAATGTGTCTTACTTGCCCCAAGTTCGTATAGCACGGTCTTCATACAACAAACAGGCAGAATTAATTTCATTTATACTCAATATTTGACAATACTTGACGTCTGCTGTCTTCTCCGACTCCTCTTTCGACGCCATATTGGAATCTTTTCCCGCTCTTTTGCGCGTTTTTGGTTTTTTACTCGTTCAGAATACTGGAACTAGTAAACATACCACGCCCCCAATTGGTTATTCTGAAATTGACCAATCAGATAGCAGAAAATGGAACTTTAAATATGGCGACTTGCTTGCGCTAATTTCATTTTTATTTATCTTCAGCAAAATATCTTGATGTTTAAAAGAAATACAGACGTTAAAAAGCTTGATTCTTGCTTGTATAAGGTATGTGAATTTTGCTAATAAAGTGATTTCTTTTTGGTTGTTAGCAATTGCAACTAATCACTAAATTTCATTTATTTGTCAACAGGAAAACAACAGCCATGAGCCATTTTCAGTTTGAGTCCGCCATCGAAGACTGTCTGGAAAACTTCTGTGCGCCTCTAACAAGGGTACAAACACCACGTTGGCAAAGGAAAAGAAACAACAGTACCTCTAGCATACCGTTGTCTCCCTGCAATGGCAACAGATCGTTAAAAACGCCATGTAAAACTCCAAAGAGAAAGAGCAAGACGCCATTAAAGACACCTAAGTCAAGGAAGACACCTCATAAAACGCCTGGTAAAACAACGCCGCATGTTGATCGCTTCATACCAAACAGAACTATAATGGACAACGATAAAAACTATTTCCAAATTGTGAATGAAGTGGACACAGTCGAAATAAAAGAAAATGAGCTTAACCCTGAAGCTCTTGAAAAAGTTCATTATGAGAAAGCAGTGAAAGATAATTTAGAAGAAGAGTCTGATTCGAGAATTCTTCACTTCAAACAAAGAGCTCCAGCAGCTAGAGAGGGTAGGTATTGTCCAGTATGCACAGGGAAAAAATCATTTGAGTGTGTTCTGCACCTATCATTTGTTTCCACCACCCTGGGGGGTACGGGTACCCCCCCGGGCATTTGACTTTTGCAATATTTTTGCGTCAAATTCCCCACCCTCGGAAGGGAAAAACAAGTCAAATACTCCAGGGCAGGGATATACCAAACCAAATTATGTATTAAAAAGAAGACATGTGTGCACTCACTCCATTAATTAATGCACTCCAATTTGTTGAGTTATAAAAAATTAAAAACTTCTTCCATCAAACAGTCTTCCATTGAATCTTCCATTGCATAACAAACAGTGCTTCCATTTTCCAAATCAAAATTTCTCATTTTTGTCATCAAATTTCTCGATTGTATATGTTATTTCCTTGAAAATTGCTTGAAATTTCATTAAGCAGTTTACAGTGATTTTGTAGCAATACAAAGGATTTAATCAATTTTAAAGGCACAAAATAGCACAATTAACAAATATGTGGGTTGGCTAAAAAACCACAGGCTATTATACTTTTAAAATTAAAAAAAAAATTATGTGTTTACAAATTAAAGAATTAAAGCATGGTCAAATCATCCCCACCCCAGATTCCGGTTTTCTGTCAACATCCCGCCCCCTGTGTCAACATTTGCGGTAAAATCCCCCTGGCTTGCCCCCCCCCCC